CCATGAGATGCATTTGAACCAGTGTCCAGTCTACAAAGAGGAGGGTCAACACAGAGGAAACATTTCCTCCATGCTTCCAAGCAAAGCCAACCATGGTCGAGCAGGATCTTTGATTTATCTTCACATAGGCGGAACTGATAAAAGAAAGGAGCCAGGGGCTCCTCCCAAGCCCATGTGACCTCTGAGGAACACATCCTCAAACGACCTTAATAGTAAAAATAAATTGGTTTAACTGCACCAACTGTATGGCCTTAAAACACCCAAAAGGAAAGTATAACCAAAGATTAAAGGGGCCAATATAATTTTTTAAGAGTTCATATGTATAGCTAAAGGCTACTAACAAGTAACACTGCCAGATAGGAGATACCTTCTTTTGAGTTGTTGGCCAGGGTGGCCCAAGGGACTCCCAGATAGTAACCCAGCATAGAACTGGACTGGGAAAATGAACAGCAGACCCCAATCTATCTAAAGAAATATTGACAACTGATTGCTGCTAGATGAGAAACAGCTGACCTTCCTCAAACAAAGACCTCTAGATAGGCTGACTAGATTCACCAGATATACAAGTAGTGGGTATCGGCTGGGTGTGCTGACCACACAGAGGACAGTAGCAGGGATAACAGAGTATAAGGGCTCTAGTGGGGGGAGGGAGGCTATGGGAGGATGCTATCTGGGAAGTGGGTGTATAGTCGAATAAGATGGTTTGGGGTGTTCTGTCTGATATACACACACACACACAAAAAAAAAATCAACAAATTTTTAAAAATGTATTATGTTTGCGGAGGAAGCATAAATTTTTATGTCATGTTAGTAGAAGTGATAAACATTATCGTTGAAATCCACCAGATGACTTTATAGACTTACACAGGTGCCAACGATCTGAGTGCAACCAATTATGACTCGTAATAATCAGATACATACAGATTAGAGACACATGTGCCAACATCTCAGCGTTAGTAGTAAAAACAATGAGTCTTTCTATAAGAAACAGCATATTTTAAAATGAAATGGAGATCATTTTTAAAGGTTAAAACCTCATTCAATTTTATGTCTTGTTAGGGCTCATACTGAGTTTAATACTGTATAATTGTATTAATTCAGCAGGGAACCTAAAATTTTTATTTAAAGGGTAAAAAGTCATTCAATTTTATATCTTTCAGGGTTTATACTGAGTTCAATATTGTTTAACTATTAATTCAACTGTGAACCTAAAAATTTACAGCCACTTTTGAAAGAGATGTGTCCTTGCTCTGGAGTGTGTTACTGAATATGTTAAAGCTGTAATGTAATGCTTCTTCTAATGTGGTTATTAAATTTTTAAAAAATTAAAAAAAATAGCAATTCTTCAAAGAATAAAAATTTGCTCCTTAGCAATTAGTAGATGTGAAAAATATTACCATTGAAATCTACCTGATGACTTTATATCCATGTTCACATGCTAAGGACCTCAGAAAGTAACTGAATGTGACTAGTAATAATCAGATATATAGAGATTAGAAACGCATGTGCAAACATGTTAGTGTCAATTGCATTAAAAATGAATTTTTATGTATGAAACTGTATACTTTAATAATGAAATGGAGGTATTTTTAAAATGTTAAAACCTCATTTAATTTTATGTCTTATAGGGTTTATACTGAGTTCAATATTGTATAACTGTATTAATTCAACTGTAAACCTAACAGCCAATTTTGAAAGAGATGCAACTTAGCTCTGGAAACTGTTATTGAATATGTCGATGCTGTTGTAATCAAATGCTTCTTCTAATTATGTGGTAATTAAACATAATTTTAAAAAATCTAAATCTACAGAACAACTTTCAGAAATCTCTGTACTGATTCTAAAAACTCTGTTAGGAATATTTTTTAAATTAACATATTCCAAAAAGAGTAAAGATACTCATCCTAAAATAATTGTTTAAAGAAAGAAGAAGAGAGTTTCCAGGTGTTTGTGCATTTGGCTTTGGCTTATGTGGTAATTAAACATAATTTTAAAAAATCTAAATCTACAGAACAACTTTCAGAAATCTCTGTACTGATTCTAAAAACTCTGTTAGGAATATTTTTTAAATTAACATATTCCAAAAAGAGTAAAGATACTCATCCTAAAATAATTGTTTAAAGAAAGAAGAAGAGAGTTTCCAGGTGTTTGTGCATTTGGCTTTGGCCTTTTGGTCAGAGCTTCTGATGTCAGATCTCCACTGCTCAGTGTCTATAGCAGATCTATAGCAGATCTATTTTCCTCAGGACTTAGAGATTTTAGATCCCCCAGAACGGAAGTGCAGAAGCTCTTTAATTAATGTTCCTAATTCAAAAACAGCTTTAAAGTCTGTTGGTACTAACTGTAGGAAAATTGTACAGTGTTTGGTTAATCCAGCTCGAGTAAATGTTAAGTTTATACTTTCTCCAATATATTCAGAAAGTAAACTTTGAAGTTAAAAATTTTCTTTTAGAGAAAAAATACTAACATAAAACCTCTTAAAGGATCTAACTACTCATAATAACCCTCAGGCTTCTAGAAATTACAGTGTTCTCTCTTAACACGGTTAGAGCCCTTTGATAGAGCAGGCGCCTCTCCATACATGGCCAGCCTGAAGCTAAAGAGGCTTCAAGTAAAACATAGCCCCACACCCTTAGTGGTTTGCAAACAAAGGGTTAGTCTCAGTATACTAGATTTCCTGCAGGTCAGCCCTGTCTCTGCTCTGGCTTCTCTCCTGCAGGACCTGTAATTACAGAGGAGCCTCAGCTGTGTACTGCCTACACAGACAGTGACAAGGAGCAGACAGTATGATACCTGTGGCCTCTTAGTGCTTCCACTCACAAGTAGCCCATGATCTCTCCACCCAAGGCTCAGCCACAGTCCATCAAAACCCAACCTGACATCAGTGGGTCGCAGGAAGGCAGTATTCCCCTAGGAAGTGGCAGTAGATATTTTGAGTCCTCAATATAGTCTACCACAGTATGAATTCCAAAGAAGCCATTTCCTGTGGGGGTGGCCATCATAACCGAGAGTCTAAAGTTGAAGAACAGGTCACTGACTCAACTTCTGTCCATTAAGATGTATTTAAGGTGTGTTTGTTACATATCCCACCAAAAAGAGCCCTAATGGAATTCAGAAAGGCTTTAGACAATAATAACTTAGGACTATACCAAACTTTGAAAAAAAAGAGGAGAGAGACTTTTGTTAAAAGGAAACAATTTTGAAGGGAAAAATTACACAGCTTGGGGTTTTCGGGGGCGGGGCAGAAAGATTTAATTAAGCCTAGGAATTTTATTTGTAGCACTTAGTAAAAATTGGTGCCAAAATAGGGGTAGAGGAGAAATACCTCCATGTGAGTGAGTTTCTTGGTAATAATAAGCTCCCTAAACTGGGTTTGGTTGTGCTTGCTTATAATCCTAACACTCACGGGGTGGAGGCAGGAGGATCAGGATTCAGGCCAGCCTGGACCAGCCTCAGCTACATAGTTTGAGGCTAGACTTGGGTATATGACATTTGGTCTCAAAACAAACAAAAAAACTTAAAAGCCGCCTAAAATCAGTAAACTTAAGTATATGATCTGGTGTGCCCATTTAACTATCAACTCAGCTCATCTCTAGATGCAACAGTTTTTTTGGGTGGCTTTTGGACAAATGGACGAAATTTTTAAACAATTTTAGGACAATTTTTGTGTCCTCATGAAGCATTTGGGGGGGGGCTGGAGAGATGGCTCAGTGGTTAAGAGTACTGGCTGCTCTTGCAGAGGACCCAGGTTCAAATTCCAGCACCCACATAGCAGCTAACAACAGTCCCTAACTCCAGTTCCAGGGGACCCAACAGCCTGTTCTGTCCTCTTTGGGCACTGTACAACATGGGTGCACTTATACACATGCAGGTAATACACTCATACACATAAAATAGAATTTTTTTTTAAAAAAAAGAAGCATCTTGTCAGAATCCAGGAGTTTATTCTGACAGTCGTGAGCCAATTTCATGGGCTCACAGCGATAAACAAAAGCTGTTATTTTACAATGGGAAGCCAAGGTGCAAACTTTGCCAAATGTCCCTGGTTTTGATAACATAGAATTTCCTCTACTAAATTACAAACATATATGTGTATTTAATTGTAATAATTATAATCTATTTAATTATACACATTTATAATGCTAAGATGCAGTGAAAATGAATCTTTTGATTACTATTGGCCAACTTGGAGAGAAGCATATTCATCACAGCAAGACTACAATTTCAGTACCTATTACGGTTGGATAAGGATACAAAATGTTAAACAGCCTATACCCTATGCAGGCTCCAGGAAAGTTGCATGATGTTAGAAGACTATCTGTCTTCAGATCCTGAACCACTGCTTCTGTCAACTGGAAAAAAAAAAGAAGCCTGAAAATTTTAAAATTTGACTTAAAAAGTTTTAGTATATTATGGGTTGAGAAATGGATCATCAGTTAAGAGCATTTACCCCTTGCAGAGGACCCTGGTTTGGTTCCAAGCACCTACACGGCAGCTAACAACGCCCTTAAACTCTAGTTCCAGGAAATCCAGTGCCCTCTTCTGATCTCCACAGGCATTGCATGCACATGGTGCTCTTATAGATACATGTAGGCAAAGCACTCATATACATAAAAGAAAAATAAATTTTAAAAATGTTTTTACTATATCTTAATCTCCAACCAGCAATTGACATAATGATAATTTTTTTAGTGTTCATGGGGATGCTTGGTGATTTTTATGCTAACCATTTCTCTGCTGATATTAAGTTTAAATTTAAACTTGAGTAATATGTATTACCTTCCATCTTTTGAGGGGTAAGGCAGGGGTTGAACACAGGGCTTGAAGAATGCTACATACAGGCTTTACCCATGAGCTATACCTCCAGCCCTTACTTTCCGTTAGTCTGACGCATGTAAAATTAGTGACTTTTGCATCCTATCCTTGTTAAGAGAAAAGAAATGGAATTGTTTATATGCAAAAGTATAATTTACTGTTGATCGAATTTTTTAAATTCTCAGAACATTTAAAAGAAAAACTGGATGACTACATAAAGCTGTGGAATGGCCTGGTGAAGGTATTTCGAAACGAGAGAAGAGAAGGCTTAATTCAAGCCCGAAGCATTGGTGCTCAGAAGGCTAAACTTGGACAGGTAGGAAGCGTTTCCTAACTACAGTGTCAGCATTTTCCATTTGGTAACTGAAAGCTCATAGACATTTTTAATTGCCCTTCAGTATTTTTAATTGAAATGAGAATGTTGGCTTGAACAGATAATTTGTATGTCAAAATTGACTAAAACGCTAATTTTTATTAGCATCTAATTTTAAGTTGTGTGTTATATATGATGTACCGTATGTGAGGAGTATTCTTTCACCCTGCCTCTTTTTTTTAAGGTTTTGATATACCTTGATGCCCACTGTGAGGTGGCAGTTAACTGGTATGCGCCACTTGTAGCTCCCATATCTAAGGACAGGTAACATTACCTTGCTTTTTTTTTTCTTTCCTAGTTGAAAAGTAAACCTTGTCCTAGAAGGGCAAATGCTATTCTCCTTCCTTGATTCCAGTTCCATTTAATGCACCAGATGTTTTAAGTGTTTTCCTTGAGCTACTCGTTTCCTGGGTGGAGCTAGACTGATGTTTTGGGCTGATTCAAATGTAGCCAACCTGGTATTTGGGAGAAACTAGGTGTCCCTCTGGAGAGTCATCTTGGGATTCTGTTGAAACTTCCTCTAACTCCAGAGACTTTCTCTAAAAATAATATTAATTGTTCCCTCTAAACTGAATAAAAGTTCTAAAGACTTGAAGAAACATGCTTCGAAATTATACCTGCTGGGTTTTTTATGACCTTTAAAATTATTACTTTAGATTGTAAGGACCAGCTGTTAACTTTGGTCAAGTCTTTGGGCTCCTATAGAAACTTAAAAGTTTAGAAATGGGCAGCTTTTCTATGGAAATGCAGTGATCACCATTAAATTTCCAGAAATACCTGAAACACCAGAAGGCAGCCTCAATCCCTCAGTGCCAAAAGCCTTTGTTGCTTCCTGTCCAGAATTCTGACTATTTCAGAAGCCAGGCAAATGCGACATATCCTTCTGGTGTATGGCATGAGTCAGAAGAAGAACTTTGGAAGACTTTCTCATCAGAAGATTTAAGTTGAAGGCCTGCATTAAACACTGTGCACATGCTCTCTAGCTTAATCCCCACAGTAACCCAGAAAGGTAGAGATAATTAGTTCCATTTTGCAAAAAAAAAAAAAAAGCAATACTGGGGCTTGGAAAAATTAAGTCACTTGCCGCAAATCTCATGATAAACTCAAACATATCTCTGGACTTCTTTACATTTCAGCATTTACTTAAAAACGTGGAAAAACACGAAGAGTGAGGAAAGATAACTAGCCAGGTATCAGGTAACTGTCTCCAGGGGAGAGCTGGAAGTCTTTCGGGAATCCAGGAAGTGGCTTTCCAAAGGTTCTAGTAGTAGCCCATATATCCCTCAGTGGCCCTCCTGTGAATTCACATTCTGGAGAAAATGGAGCTTTCTTCTAGAATCCACATCCTCATATCAAGGTTCTCAGTCCCATAGATTTGCCCTTGACCTGCAATCTCATTTTATGAAATAAATTTTAAGTCCTTTCTGATAAGATGAGGGTTCCAGATCAGTACGATGTCAACTCTCTGTCCAGTTAGTTATTTAGTACTAATAGTTTAACAAAGTCCAAATGAAGGGAATGTTTTTTTCTTTTTTTCCAAATTCTAGACCATTCCTTAAATTCCTCAACAGATTTCCAAGTACCTTCCTTGGGTTTTTTTTTTTTTTTAACGGCAATAATAAAATACAGAATCTGAGGCTTTTAGTTTTTGGTTGGTGGGGTATTGTTTTGTTTTGTTTGTAATAAAAAGAGGGAAGAGAGAAAATTAAATGAAAACAAAAATATATGCTTACAATGAGTACTTCCAAAGAGACAAAAAGCAACAAGGAGTTGGAAGGAGCTAAGACAGGGCTGTCAGCGGGTGTACGGACACAAAACGTCGTCTTTAATGGAAGACAGGGAAGCAACAAGCAGAAAAACCTTGTATGACACAGAATTACTGTGAGATAGCTGCCGGTAATACCGTAGTAAGAGAGAGAAAGCACATTCAGCTCAGTGGTGTGGGCTCTGCCCAAGGCTTTCCTAGTAAGACTAGAAGAAAGTCCCTTCCATTCTGCCTTTATGCTAACACGGACCTTGGTTTTTACCAGACCTTATTGGTACATTTACTCTGTGTCCCCCTTGATTAGATAATCAAGTTTTCTAAAACAGGAAGTACAAAAGGAGACAATGTAGTTAGGCATGCTAAACTAGTCAGTTTTTGGGTTCTTAAATGCATTTTCATTTTCTGTAAATGTTTCAGAACTACATGTACTGTGCCTCTAATAGATTACATAGATGGGAATGATTATTCCATTGAACCACAGCAAGGTGGGGATGAAGATGGTTTGGCCAGAGGGGCCTGGGACTGGAGTATGCTATGGAAACGTATTCCTCTAAGCCACAAGGAAAAGGCCAAAAGAAAACATAGAACTGAGCCTTATCGGTAAAGATATTACTTTATTATTTTTTTATGTTGAATGTTTATCTAAGTCCTTTTTTTTTCCTTCCCCATGAACTCCTATAAATATATGGGTGTATACATACGTTTCCATTTGATCTTGCTGCCATCAACACAACACAGAACCATTTGCACTGTGCCGCTTATAGATGTCATAAATGGCAACACATATGAAATTGTACCCCAAGGGGGTGGTGATGAAGATGGGTATGCTCGAGGAGCATGGGATTGGAGTATGCTCTGGAAACGTGTGCCTCTGACCTCTCGAGAGAAGAGACTGAGAAAGACAAAAACTGAACCGTATCGGTAATCACTAAATCACTTACCTGTTTTCTTTTCTGCAGTCGCTGCTAACCTATTAACCTCTTGCCAAGCTAAGAACTTGTTAAATTCACTTAAGTGTAGATGCTGTCTCAGATTCTGAGCGAGCTTTGTTCCTTACATTGTTTCAGAGCTTTGAATTCACATTTGCTCCTTTACAATTCTTTTACCTTAAATTCAAGCTCTACTAAGAAAATTATACTCTTTCATTGGGGAAAAAATGTAGAAGACATTATTAATTCCAGCTATGAGTAGGAAAAAAGGAAAGAACTCTTTCCTATCCTGTCCTAGTAGAATAGATAACAGATTGTGTTCTTTGATGACAGTGTCACTCTATAAATTCTGAATACATAAATTGCTGGTAATTCAAGACTGATTTGTACCTTGACGTCTTGAGTGCAGTGTTAACAATGAAAAACACTAGCAAGAGATTTTTGGGTTTTTCTCCCTTTTGTTTTACATGCTAAAGCTCAGATACTAATTTTGTATCAGTTACATGTGTTGGATGAGAATACGTGACTTTAGAAAACGTTGCCTAGACTCCTTTGTCGCTTCCTTCTCAGAAGAGTGCTTGATTAGAAGAAAACTCTATGCCCAAATCGGCTTTTGTCCCTTCTTGTGCTTCTTCAAATAGAACAATTTATTTTACTCTCTTCTTTTGATCTTATAATTGGAATATTTTACAGTCTTTCAAAAAAGCGATTCCCAAATGAAGCATTTCTGTAAAATTGTAGCCAAGTCCATAACGCATCTGGTTTTTTAAATTTTAAAAATTTATTTATTATCTATTTCTATGCCCATGATTCTGCTCTCTGTCTCTACCCTGTTGTGTTGCTGGCAATGTTACAACTCATTTGGGGAAGTGCTTCGGTGTTGTGGATGTGCTGGTGGGATTTGGGCATGTTGTGATAATCAGGACACTGAATGGCAAACATGAAGAAATTACAGACCTTCAAGCTTTATATCTTCCAAACTTCATTCAAAAACGTCATATTCTAGATAATACAGGAATCTGTTGCTGACTTGTTTAGGCTAACAAATCACCTGGGAGAAAAAAAGAATTCACAAAGTCTACTGGTTCCATAGGCCAGTAGAGGCTTTTTTTTAAAGGAAACTTTAAAGGTTTCCCTCTAATTAATTCACTAGCTTGCATGTTGAGCTGCATCTTCAAGTGTGCACTGAGATGAATGGGAATGTATTTAAAGATCAGAAAGGCACAGTTCTAAGAAATAATTTTAAATGACAGTTAAGTAAATATGACCTGAAAGTACAACCAAAATGTGTTAGTTCAGTAATTTAGGTAGTGTGTTTTAAGAAGAAAAGGCACAAGAGAACAACTCCTTGATAGGATTTCCTTCAGTACTGAAAATATTACTAGACTCATCATCCACTCATAAATGTTTATTGAGTGCTTACTGTGTGCCAGCCTTTATTATACTGGAGGATTACCTTTTTTAAAATTTTTTATTGAATTTTTGTGCATTTCATACAATATGCCTTAATCAAATTTAAACCCTCTCCCCTATCTGCACCTCATAACCTCCCTCTGGATTTCATACATTCTGTCATATATGCCAGGCGTGGTGGCGCATGTCTTTAATCCCAACACTTGGGAGACAGAAGCAGGAGGATCTCTGTGAGTTCGAGGCCAGCCTGGTCTTCATAGTAAGTTCCAGGCCAGCTGGGGCTACAGGGAGACTCTATCTCAAAAAGACCAAAAACAGGGTCTGGAGAGATGGCTCAGCGGTTAAGAGTGCTGACTGCTCTTGCAGAGGACTGGGTTCGATTCCCAGCACCCACATGGCGGCTATGAACCGTCCTTGACTCCAGTTCCTGGGGAGTCCGAAGCCTTCTTCTGACCTCTGTGGCATTGCAGGACATGGGTGCACTCGCATATATATAGGCAATACACTCATATACATAAAAAATAAAAATAATAAATAAAATATTTTTTAAAAGACCAAAAACAAAAAACATTCTGTCATATATGTTAAGGCCTAATGAATCAAGTTTATGAGTCCATCTACTGGAACCTGGTCAACCTATCTAGCATCACTCCCTTAAAGAAGACCAACTCTCCATCACCCAGCAGTGGTCAGCTGCCCATAGTTGGGCAGGGTTGGGAGGGTGACCTTTTAGAGATACAAGCTCTCATGGAATTTATAACAGTGACTGATACACAAATTAAACAGGCACACACACACATTTTTTCAAGGTCTCAGTGACAGATTGAACATTAGGTGTGAGTGATAAATAAGGAATTCTAATAGTATTACGCTCTCTAAAACTTAAGAATCACGATGCATTATTAATAATTGTTGGTGGCAGTAAAGGAATGCACAGAATGCAGTGAATCATTCTGCTATCCTTTCTTCCAATACTGGGAGTCACTTGACTCTAAAAAGCTACCATTTTTTTTCTCACCTAAAAAGTGAGACTTAAGACCTGTTCATGAAGGACCAACCACAAGGCACACTTTCGCATACTCACCTCTTGACCTAGGGAATGATGACGTCCAATTCTCCTATGTCAAGCCCATGTTACATTTCAAACGCTGAATGAACCAGGGCTGTTCTATGGTGATTTACACTGTAATTCACCAAAACCTTGAACTATAAAATTTTTTTTAAATGACAGACTACTTCCATGGTGTATAGTTTTGATCAGTTCAGAATGACTCATGAATCATTGAAGGAGTAGTAAGCAGGCCATGTCTTTTTGGTTCAATGTCTTAGGAGAGAAAGAGAATTTTTTATTTTATGTAAAAGGCATGATTAATTTTCAAATCAACAAAGAAACCAGGGCGCCATCTAATGGCAAAATGACAAAGTAACTCTATAATGAAGTTTGATATCAGTTGGAATTTTTAACAAACCCATTCAGAAATTACGAGCACATTGTTTTGAGAAGGATTCACAGTTTCTTAATGTTTGGCCATCAGTTTTGTCTCTTCTGTCCACTCACGCTGCATTCCCAGAGGCTTGCTATCTGTTAGTGAAGGGATGTTGGCATTTGCTTTTAATAGTCACTGCGGTGTTTCTTTTTTAGGTCTCCAGCTATGGCTGGTGGGTTGTTTGCCATTGAAAGAGAGTTCTTTTTTGAATTGGGTCTCTATGATCCTGGTCTCCAGATTTGGGGTGGTGAAAACTTTGAAATCTCATACAAGGTAACATTTCATTTAAACAAATGCTGTTTTCTAAGTAATTGCTAACTTTCATGACTTTCAGATAAAACTAGTTTCTTAAGAAAAATCTATATAATTCATTTCTCCAAATTATTGGGAATGTCTTAATAATGTATAGTTCTTATGGTAAATAAAGCAAAGTGATTACTTATTTATAGAGCTCAGCTCAAAATTATGGTCAGCAAGTTTCAGAAATGGAAATTTACTCACCCCTGCCCCCGCAGTTTCTGTACAGTGGAGCCTTGGATTATAGTAGTCCTTTGGCAAGTCTGCATATTGACCATCTGCTAGAATAGTCATCCTCTACCACTCTGGGACATGGTGATAGACAACAGAGCAGAGCCCCACAGTGACTGGCATCCTCTAGTCAGCCTCCTCTCTATTGCTGAGGTGTCCTTGAGCAACATCCTATGTGCTCCATCCCCACCCAAGTCCTACTCCATTTTCAGAAGGCATGGGCAAAAGAGGGAGATAGGGAAAGATTAGAATTTAACAGACATTTAATATATCTTGTCTTAAATATCCTGTACTTAGTGCTGTGAGGGATACACTAGGAGCAACTAGTCCTTGCTGTCAAAGAACTTATCACTGATAAGAGATAAGAAATATATTTGTAATATAGTAGGAAAGCAAAATGAGGGACAGAAGAGACAGCTCATTAGTTAAGATCACTTATGGCTGTTGCAGAGGACCTGGGTTCAGTTCCTAGCACCCTCATGATAACTCAAAAACATCAGTAACTCCGGTTCCAGGGGTTCTGATGCCCTCTCTTCTGGCCTTCGTGGGCACTGTACACCCACAAGGTGCACTTACATACATGCAGGAAAACAAAACAAAAATAAATTTAAAAGAAAAGAAGGAAAATGACATTCAGTTGGTGTGATTAAGAAAATATCACTGTGTGTGGTGGCACACGCCTTTAATCCTAGCACTCGGGGAGGCAGAGAATCCCAGCACTTGGGGAGGCAGAGGCAGGCGGATCTCTGTGAGTTGAAGACCAGCCTGGTCTACATGGCAAGTTCCAAGCCAGCTGGGGCTGCAGGGAGACCCTGTCTCAAAAAGACCAAGGAGGGAGGGAGGGAGG